CGAAGAATGACGGGGATTTGAGGCCCATAAAAAAAAACCTGGTTTGGCTAGTTTTATCTACGGCCGGTTTTCTATATTCACTCTTATTTTGTGTGCTCTTGGAAGCTTGAGCTTCAGAAGCAAACAGGCTCTCAGCAATTGGGGCATTATGTCGTATCTGTTCCTTTGGGAGAACTGCTGAGAGCCTTATTTTAGCTTAGTTTACTTTGATGGTCATACAACGAAATCAGACACAGTCTTTAGTGCACATCATGACCGTGAAAATAAACAAACACGCATCCTTCACCCTTCACACATTGAACTGAAAAATCCCAACACTGCACTCACTATACAGCAGAATTCAACAGAGCTACTGCCCTGGGATAGAAGCTGTTTTTCAGCTTATTTGTCCTTGTTTTTATTATTCTGTACCGTCTGCCAGATGGTAATAGTTCAAAAAAAGGGTTCCCAGGATGAGATGGATCTTTTGAGAATATTTGAGAATGAGTTGTTATTTGAAAAATATTTCCTTTCCCTGCTGGCTGTAAGCTCTTATCCTACCATACCTGTTAGCTATGCCCTCTCACGCAATAATAAGAATCATACCAAACAAAACCTTTTCTAGGGAGTCTCCATCCTTTATGTTTATTGGTATCCTGCCTTTTATTTTTACAAATAATGCAAGGCTGTGAATGTATCCAACACACCTTCCTCCTCCCTATTTCCCCTACAACTACAACCCTGTGAGGAGAGTTGGGCTGAGAACAAGTCACCCAGCTGCCTTTCATGGCTAAGGCAGGACTTGAACTTGGGGTTTCTGGCTTCCTAGCCTGGTACTAGACCAAATTGGTTCTTGTCTCTCTTTTTACACTTTTACTTGTTGGGATAAGTCCAAAGGCCTACTCTTTATGTATAGCCAAATTGAGCAAGAATTGTAAATAATTTTGCACTGGTGAAGTACTATACAAATGATTAATGAATCAGAACATCCAGTTCTGCAGCTGGCTTTTCCCTGCAAATATCCTTGGAGGTAGAAGTCCCTCCCACTCTTGAATCATGGCTTGTTGAAGGCCTAAAAAAATCCTGTTTCCTGAACCATTCATCGCACCTGAAACCATTGAGCCTTACTTGGACCCAGAATCCCATACCAGTTCAGTGAGAATGTTATTTGGGCTGTCATCAATTTGGTCATACCAATAGTGTCTACAAAAACAGACCATGTAAACACAGAATTTATGAGCTTTCTTGCTACCTTTGAGCAGCAAAGCTACAATCTGTGTAATGATAGTCTCCTAGTATGTTTGAAGTAAAACCAGATGCTTATATAACACATATTCTTAGACAAAAACCTCTTTCCCCACCTATTCCTTTCCTACATGAGCTTGTTCCTGTCCCCTCCCATCTTATCTGTAGAACCCAGAATCTAAGGCACTGCACTATCTAGGATGTGTTTGCCATGTTCTTGCACAAAATTTGAAGAGTCTGAGCCTTCAGTCAGTTAACAATATTGGTAATATTTGTAGAGTAACTTCAGTCTATAAATTTAAGTATAAGCAGCCGGTAATCTGATTCATTTCTCAACCAGTGTCTCTGAAACAAATTACTATAGTTGTTTCTATCACATTGAATGTATCTCTGAATTTATAGCGGCATGAGATTTTGCTTTTTTTAAAAGTGACTTATGTATCATCTTAACTTAAAATGTGAATATCATATAAAGGGTTGGTTTGATTTCACAAATTGCATTGCTCTTTTGATGTGTTTCTAAGCCTTTAAATGTTTTTTTTTTTGGGGGGGGGGAAGAATGTTTTTACTTAAATGAAAAACTTCTGTTTGCAATTTCAGATCCCTTACTCTCTTCCTTCCAAGACTTCATTGATCTCTAAAAGCCATATCAAATCATATCACATGATGGTGGCCATGATAAAATACTTTCATGTTGTTTCCAAGAAAACTACAGGTAGTCCTTGATTTATGACCATACATGTAATAACCATTCAAAGTTAATACTGGTGCTGAAAAAAGTGACTTAGGACCAATCCTTATGACCATTACAGCATTCCCTGCAATCATGTGATCAAAATTTAGTCAGTTGACAATCCCGGGGCCAAGTGGTCACAACCTCCAGTCTTCCCAAAAGGCTTTCAACAAGCAGCGACACTGGGAGATACCACCTTTGCTTAATGGCTGCAACATTTGCTTAACAATCCTGGTAAAATAGATTGTAAAAATTGGACGATTCACTTAACAACTGCATCACCTAGCAATGCAAATTCTGGGCCAATTGTGGTCATAAGTTGAGGACTACTTGTACTTCTCTACAAATAGAACATCTGAAGTCCAAGCTTATACCTCAACTTCTAATACACAGAAAAGTTTCCAAGAAGTAAGGGGTGCTTATAGAATTTCATGGTTTAAAAAATGGTTGGGGTTCACTTTCAAATAGAGAAAATGAGTCCCAACACAATTTTTTTTTGAAAGAATATTTTATAGGTATGTTTCCTTCTTGCAAACGCTTTCCCATGATATAAGATGGGGTGTCATCTTGGATTTTCCCTGATACTTTAATTCAGAATCTGCCCTCTTTTCTTCCGTCAGTAAAGCCACTTTAAACCTGATGACCTTAGATGTGGCTCCCAAACATCTTGCTTGTCACCAACTTGAGCAGGTTTCATGTTTCGCGAAGGCTTATGCCTTTTATTAAAATGTGACCAGGCTCCTGATCCTTTGCCAGGTTGAGCAAGTTTCTTGTAAAAGCTGTGGGGTTTTTTTCCCTCTGCGATTAAATGTGAATTAGCAATGTATAAATATTAGGAAATAATCTCATTCTGTAAAGATGGAACATCCAAAGAGCCATTTGCTTTCCCTCTCCATTGCCTTTTGTAAGTCTGACAGCCCACTAACTTTGTGTAAACTTAAGGTCACTCAAAAAGATACTTTCTAGAGCAGGGGTGTCCAACCTTGGCAACTTTAAGACTTGTGGACTTGCAAAGCTTTGCTGGCTGAGGAATTCTGGGAGTTGAAGTCCACAAGTCTTAAAGTTGCCAAGGTTGGACACCCCTGTTCTAGGGCATAAGTAAAGTCCAGATAACCATTGTCTCATCTAGCACCCCCTTGTTGTATTGGGCAATCCCTGTAAACATTCTTGGTTTGCATTTGCAATGCTGGCTTGTAATTTTCCACTTATGACCGCAATTGAGACTAGAATTTATGTTGCTAAGTAAGACATTGAGTACATTTTGTCCCATTTTACAACCTTTCTTGCCACAGTTGTTCAGTGAATGACCGCAGTTAAGTTAGTAAGATGATTGTTAAGTGAATCTGCATTCCATGTCAGGTCGCAAAATAGGATTACATGACCTTGGACACTGAAACTCATAAATATATGCTGGGGATGCTGCAATAGTCATAAACGTTCCTAAGTCAGGTTTTTTTTTTTTTCAGTGTCGTAATTTTGAACAGTCAATAAACAAACTCTGGTAAATTGAGGACCGCCTGTATGTCAGAAATCCCCCCTCACCATGTTCCGTTTATGGAATTCTGACCTTACTCTCCCAGTTTCATTTTTTCCCTCAGGTTGGAAAGCCATAGAATATTGGGGGCTTCTCAGTCCTTGCTCCCCCAGTGCCCCCTCCCATCAGGAAGGGAAGGGGAAAAATAAGGATTTGAGCCAGGAGCCAGTCTCTCAACTTAGTGCCCTCCAGATGTGCTAACAGCAATAGCACTTAAGACATGTATCACTTTACAGCCCCTCTTAAGGGGTTTACAGAGTCAGCCTATTGCCCTCAACAATCTGGGTCCTCATTTTACCCACCTCGGGAGGATGGAAGGCTTAAGAGCATGGCTTCCATCTTCCCCAGACAGTATATCTAGTAGACCACAGGTAGACCACAATTGAACCCAGAATTTAAGTGAGTTTTGCCCTGTTTTATGACCTTCCTTGCCACAGTTGTTAAGTGAATCACTGCAGTTCTTAGTCACCCGGTCTTTTAAGTGAATCTGGCTTCCCCACCCCCACGTAGCTTGACCAGGTTACAAAAAAAGGGATCCCATGACCCAGGGACACTGACTATCATCGATGTGAGTCCGTTGCCAAATGTCTTTGGAGTGTAAATCACGCAACCGTGGGGGAGGCTGTGTGTGTGAAAAGCGGTCCCTGAGTGCCGTTGTAACTTCCAACGGCTGCTGCGTGAACTGTTGTAAGTTGAGGACTATCTGTAATTGTACACCAGCTCCTTTGCCAGTTGGAATCCCACCAGGCTCATAGTTGACTCAACCTTCCATCCTTCAGAGGTGGGTAAAACGAGGACCCAGATTGTTGGGGGGGCGGGGGGGCAATAGGCTGACTCCCTAAACCAGGGGTCTCCAACCTTGGCAACTTTTAAGCCTGGGGGACTTCAGTTCCCAGAATCCCCCCAGCCAGCAAAGCTGGCTGGGTGGATTCTGGGAATTGAAGTCCCCCAGGCTTAAAAGTTGCCAAGGTTGCTTTAAACCGCTTAGAGAGGACTGTAAAAGCACCATGAAGCGGTATGTAAGTCTTAAGTGCTATTGCTAACCTACGGGGTCAAGCCGTTGTCGTGTGGGGCCCTTCCCACGTGCAAAGAGCATTCGGGAACCTCCCGTGTTTCCCCGTTCGTGTGTTCCGAGGAGCTTAGACGCGTGCGTTTGGGGAAGGCGGGGGTGTGTGTGTGTGCAAGGGAAGAGAACCTGCTCCGGCTGGCGAGAAAGGGAAGATTTCCCCCTTAAGCGGATCCCAAACGCCTCCCCCCGCCCCCCCTCCCAAGAGCTAGTTTTCCTTCCTGCCTCGCGCGCACGTGGTGGGGAAAGAGAAGCCGGACCCGCTTTGCGGCCGGTCGCTTCCTGGGAACCGGCGCCAGGCCTCCCCCCCACCCCCGCCCCGGTTCTCTGCTCCTCCTTTTCCTCGCTAGGCCCAAAGCCCGCCGGCCCCACGTGTTCTTCCTCTTCCTGCCTGCCTGCCTCCGTTCCTCGCCTTGCCCGAGGCCGTGGCGGGGTTGGCCTCGGTGCGGCTCCTCCTCTTTCTCCCCTCCTCCTCCTCCTCCTCCTCCTCGCTGGCTGCCGCTGCTGCCATCGCGCCGGTCGTCGGCTCGGCGTCCGCCTCTGCGATCCGGCCCGGCCCCACGTGCTTCGGGCCGAAATCGGTAAGATGGCTCGGTAAGAAGAAAGGGAGAGCCGCCGCGGCCGGGCTTTGGGCCCGCCTTCCCGGCTTTCTCCGCACCCAGGCTCTGTTCTCGCCGCCGCTGCTGCCGCGTGGGCCTGACGGTCGCTTTGCCTTCTTCCCCCTCTGGGGCCGCCCGGCTGGGACACGTGTCCTTGGATCAGGCGGATCTGGCCTGCTTTTCCGGCAGCCGGGCCGGCCGGTGCTGGCCGAAAGAAGGGAGAGGCGTCCCGGAGCCCGAGGGTGGGGGAAGATTGGAGGTCCCTTTCGGGCCCCCACGTGCTCTCCGTGGGAGGGGTCGAGCCTGAAGTCCGTCTCGCCTTTCTGCTCGGCGGGCTGCCCGGATTGGGGGGCCCTTTTGGAAGAGGGAAGCGTAAGACCTGGCTTCGGGCTATTCTTTCTCTGCTGGGGGCTCCCCCCCTCCCCAAAAGGGCCCCTCCCCTCCTTTTTCCAGCTGCCTTCTGTCTCTCCCCCCCTCCCTCCCTCAGCCCTTTCCCAGAGGGGCTCTTAGGGAAAACCTCTCTCCCCTTGTAAAGATGGGAAGGATAAATAAGCCTTGGCATCTTGCCTGGGCTCTTCCTCTTCTGGGTTCTTTTTATTTGGTGGGTCTCCCAATTATTTTTGGGGGGGTGGGGAACGGCGGTGGCTCCTTGTCTCCCCTGCCTCCACCATATGTTCCTCCCGGGAAGGAGGCTCCTAGGCTGGTATCTTAACCTGGTTTTTCCAGGCTTCCCTGGGATGGAATGTCTGACTTGGCTTTGACAGGTGTTTGTATAGACAGACAGTCAGGGGAGACGTGGTTAGTTAGTGCCTGCAGTTAAAACCACTCATTTTCTTCCCAGCCTGGTTGACTACTGCCACGGAGGTGGGAATCCTATGGGGATTAAAGGGAATTTGTGTGTCTGTCTGTGGAGCAAACTCCAGTGCTCCTTAATGAGGGGAGAAGGAGGACATTTTGAACCTCTCCTGCACGTTTCCTGGTTTTCTTAAATTCCGGCTTTAAGGGAAGCCGGGTTCCAGGGAAAGTTGGTTAATTTAACCAAGTCACATTTCGTTCTGGCTGACTCTCTTCTTCAAGCCTACTCCCTGGCAGTGGGCAGAATCTACGCTCATTTTGATGAGTGTATTGGATTAGTAGAAGGGAGAGCAGTGTTGTAATTGAATTTTTCTCTCTCTCTCTCTCTAGCAAGAAAGGCTGTGCTGCGGGAATACAGTGGTTCTCCTTTCTAACTCTGGAGACATGGGTGTGTGCCTCCAAAGAAGGGCTGGGAAAATATTTGAAATTCCTAAGCTACAGGATAAAGACATTTAGGAATGAACCCTGAATAAGGATGGAAGGGGTCACTCTTATGTGAAAACAGTTCCCTTCTTTTCATCCCTGATCAGTAGCCAGTAAAGTCCGGGCAAATAAGTTTTTAAAACCAGGTTAGAGGGTGATGATAGTGGCAAAGTTATTGTTTATAAGGTGCCTCCCATTGTATTTCTCAGGGAAAGTTTTTCAAATACAGATAATTCTTGACTTATGACCATATAGGAACCCAAAAGCTTTGTTGCTGTGTGAGATACTAACTGAATTTTGCCCAATTCTAAGCCCTTTCTTTCCACATTTGTTAAGCGACTCACAGCTGTTAAATAAGTAACATGGTTGCATGATTGTTGAATGAATCTAGTTTCCCCATTGACTTTGCTTGTCAGAAGCTTGCAACTTGACCCCGGGACACTGCAACTGTCATAAATATGAGTCGCTTATCAAACATCCAAATGGAAATCACATGACCATGGGGATGCTGCGACGGTTGTAAGTGTGAAAAATGATCATGTCCCTTTTTTTCAGTGCTGTTGTCATTTCAAACGGTCACTAAGCAAACTGTTGTAAGTCTGGGACTACTTTGGGCTTTTGGTAAAGGAGAAGGTTTGTAGCTCAGGATTGAAATGAAGGGTCCTTGGTCCTGTTTTCTTGCAGCCAAAGGTTGTTTTCTTATTGGCTTCCTTCTCTCTCTCTCTCTCTCCCTCCCTCCCTTTCTTTCTCTCCCTCTCTCTCTCCTTCCCTCCCACTCTTTCTATCTTCCCCTCTCCCTCCCTCTCTCTCTCTCTCTCTCCCTCCCTCCCTTTCTTTCTCTCCCTCTCTCTCTCTACCTCCCTCCCTCTCTTTCTCTCCCTCTTTCCTTCTCTTTCTATCTCTCCCTCCCTCTTTCTCTCCCTCTCTTTCCCTCTCCATCTCTCTCCCTCCCCCGCTCTCTCCCCCTCCCCCTCCCTCTCTT